CGCTGCATGAGCCCCCATCAGCCTCACCTGTGTAGTGTGACAAGGAGAAAAGGGCAGTAGCTGAATCCTAGCAGTGTCCTCAGAGCTCCTCAGCAGCACGGTCTTAGCAAGTTCCTGAGGAAAGGCAGGCTGCAGGTTCCAGTTGGGGTAGGAGGGTGGCTCTCCCCCATACACCCACCTCAGAGCATGGTAGGGCCCACCGTGGCAGTAAGGAGACCTAGGGTAACATGGAAAGCAGGGGGTGCAGACTCTACCATGGTCTAGGGAGCAACACAGCCCTGCGGCCTCTCTCCATGCTGATCTCTCCTGGATTTGAGCACAGATCTGGGTGCAGGGGAAATATGCAATCCCGCTCACTCACTGACTCAACGCAAGCCGGCTGCGGAGTTCCTGAGGCCCAGCCTCCCCATCAATATCAAACCAGAGGGAGCCAAGATGGCAGCCTAGGAGCGAGAACAAGGAGCACACAGGGAATCAGCCACATCGCCCTTCTCCAAGGGGAGGAGGCCACTGATGCCGACTTGCCTTTCTGTTCTTTCTTTCGCCTCTGTGGAAGAGAAAAGTCCTTGTAAAACCTGACCACGGTATGATTAACATCCTTATTGCATCCTTTTAACACAAATTCTAAGAATCCTGTGTTGAAAGCAACCTAGTCATTTACCTGCCATAGTGACATGCATTTTAAGTGCATTTAAACAATATTTTGAATTCACTAGACATCACAATGACTCTGGTGACTCTGAATAGCCGTACTCATCCTTCTCTTTGGTCTTCCCTGTCTGAGGTTTTCCTCATAGAAATTGGAATAAGCAGAGTTCAAGGCCTGGTGGTCTCTTGTCCAACTCCATGGCTGGTTTGCCATGGCCACATGGCTTCGCACACCAAGAAGGCGCTACAGGCTATCAGAGGCAAGGCCTGGGGACTTCCTCCACCCCACAATGGCCCGATAGAAAGTGGTGAGCGTCCATCTCTCTCCTCCTCTCTTGAGGCCTGGCTGCTCCGTGGGTAGAGGATGTTTGGAGGTTTTGTTGATAAGCTGAGAGCACAGTGTCCTCCAGAGCAGACTGTAGGAAAGCAGAGCTTTGACAGCCCCAGGGAGGCTCTCCAGGTCCACCTACAGTCTGAGGGTGTGCAAGGACGCCTGGCACTTGGACAAGATGTCCCAACATCTTCAGGCTGCTCTTCATGAGATGCGGGCGTCAGAAAAGGCCAGAATGATCTCGATGGAGTTCTGTGAGGAGCATTCATCGATTTCCCTTCATCTCGGAGCGGTGTTGGCTCCATGGTTCTCCAACATTTGTTGACAAAGTATTTAGAACAAGAAAAGCACCAGACGCCCACCCCCAGGTGTCTGAAGCCTGCACAGGGGAGAACTTTCAGAGACGTTTTCAGGACATACTCCTAAGGGTTTGGAGGCCCACACTCTTAAAAAAATACCTAAATTCCCTGCTATTCTTTTACAAACAGGAGACACTAATGGGTGATTCCAGTGTTACAGACACATTCCCACTGATCTATCCCTACCCCTTGTGCTCTTGGGGTAACATCACATCTCCATAAGATA